TGGCTCTGGCCAGCGCCACCATCTTTGTGGCTATGGGCACTGCCATCGTTGTTGCAGAGTGATGGTGAATTTGCATGTTACCCTTTTATTAGTATAGATAAAATATTATAAGTGTAGGTGAGGATTTGGAGAAAGGGGAAACCTTATACACTATTGGTGGGAATATAAATTGGTGCAGTCACTATGGAAGACAGTATGGAGAGTTATCAAAAAAAAAAACTCTCCATGATCCATATGGAAATCTATCAAGAGGCAATGAAAACAGGATCTGGAAAAGCCATCTGTACTCCCATGTTCATTGCAGCATTATTCACAATAGCCAAGATATGGAAACACCCTGTCTACAGAGATAAAGATTATGTGAGAGATATATATCTACAGGGGTGGGAAAAACATTTACAGTTGTGAGTACAAGAAACAATACAAGAAACAATAAATAATCATATAGGAATAAACTGTATTTTGAATACTCACAACTGCATAGCTACTTTTGACGTGTGTGTGTGTGTGTATGTGTGTGTGTGTATGTGTGTATTCTACCATGAGGATTAGAAGAACATGTTTCCATTTGCATGGACTTATGAGCATTTGCTAAGTGAAACTAGTTATGCAGAGGATAATAAATACTATATGATACCACTTTTTTTTGACATTCAAAATGAAAACCACTTTATTGCAAAGTTTAGGACACAACAGACTTCACAGAACAACAGAAATAAGACAATCCCAAGACACTGGAGTGTAACATCGCAGCTGACAGGTTAGTACTCCTCACCTTCATCCTCTCCCTCAATACTATCTGCTCCAACCTCCCCATAATCCTTCTCAAGGGCAGCCATGTCCTCACGGGCCTCAGAAAACTCTCCTTCCTCCATGCCCTCACCCACGTACCAGTGGACAAAGGCACGCTTGGCATACATCAGGTCAAACTTGTGGTCCAGGCGAGCCCAGGCCTCAGCAATAGCTGTGGTGTTGCTCAGCATGCACACAGCTCGCTGTACTTTGGCCAGGTCTCCACCAGGGACCACAGTGGGAGGCTGGTAGTTAATGCCAATTTTGAAGCCAGTGGGGCACCAGTCCACAAACTGGATGCTGCGCTTGGTCTTGATGGTGGCAATGGCAGCATTGACATCTTTGGGGACCACGTCACCACGGTACAACAGGCAGCAAGCCATGTATTTACCATGGCGAGGGTCACATTTCACCATCTGGTTGGCTGGCTCAAAGCACGCATTGGTGATTTCTGCTACAGAAAGCTGCTCATGGTAGGCTTTCTCAGCAGAGATGACAGGGGCATATGTGGCCAGAGGGAAGTGGATGCGGGGATAGGGCACCAGGTTGGTCTGGAATTCAGTCAGATCAACATTCAGGGCTCCATCAAACCTGAGGGATGCAGTGATGGAGGACACAATCTGGCTAATAAGGCGGTTAAGGTTAGTGTAGGTTGGGCGCTCAATATC